CATGACCCTTAGACCCCTACTCTCAAAATTTACCCTATATATATGCTTATGATTCTAAGCCTTCAGGGAGTTCAGGTCTTCACAGCGTTAGCTGGCTTGGTTGGCACCCTCCAATAAAAGTTCATCTTTGTATTGCAAATCTTGGTATGCAGATTTATTAGCTGGGCTGCCCAAATGCGAGTGACCTTCTTTGATTCAATAACAGTGTGTGTATAATAATCTTAAAAAGAAAAAAAGAAAACATCCTAAGTTTCCATCATTAGAGGACTAGAGTAATTTAGGATATATTCAAATACTAGGATACTCTGCAGAATTTACGGAGAATGAAGTCAAGCTACATAAACTGCTGTGGAAAGATGATTCTGTAAAACAAAAGTTTCATAATAAGATGTACAGTATATAATCATCTTCTTGAATAAAGAAACTATAAACATATATGTTTATGGGTTGAGCAGTAGCCTTGGAAGGACTGAGGAGTAAATTTTAATTTTGTACCTTTATATACCATTCGATTTCTCAAAATAAATATCTGTTCCCTCAATTACTTTCTTCAAGTGACTCCCAGGGAGAATTTCGATAGTAAAACAGTATGGATTTTTCAGTTCCTGGTATTTTGAAATTGTATATTTTAAGGTCTGAGGGTAGTATGTCCAATAACTCTCCAAAAGTCCCATCAGATTCTGTTAATATTAGGAAGCTCTTATAAGAAGAAGAAAGGACCCTGTCTTAGTCCATTTTCTGCAGCTATAACAGAATACCACACACTAAGTAATTTATAAACAAAAGAGATTTATTTGGTTCATGGTTCTGGAGGCTGGAAAGTCCAAGATCAAGGGCCTTTTTGCTAAGTCATTAATTACACGGTGGAAGGCATAACATGGCAAGAGAGGGTAGGAGCAGATGAGACAGAGACAGGGGATTGGGTGGAATTTACCCTTTTTATCAGGAACCCACTCCCCCAAAACTAACCTCACTCCCAAGATATGGTTTTAAACCATTCATGAGGGTGGAGCCCTAAAGACCTAATCACCTCTTAAAGGTCCCACCTCTTAAACTGATCAAGATGACAATTAAATTTCAAAATGAGTTTTGGAAGGGACATTCAAACCATAGCAGACCCCATTCCCTGTTTAACAGGCAGGAAGTTATCCTTGAATGTCTAGGAAAGAGTGTCACCAGTTGGAGGTTGGGAAGGGTGAATGTAAGTTGACTTGAATGTTCCCTTGTAGAATGCCATGGTGGGTCTTCTTGTCCACGTCACTGTAACACCGGGGTGTACACTTCCACATGCCAGTGAGTAGTGATCACAAAACACCGTGAGTAAAGCCAGGACAGCTGTGGCTGATGCCTTCTTCCTTCTCTCCTCAGGGAAGAACCCAAAAGTGTGGCACTGTACCTCTGTAGTACCAGGCAGCATGTGACCGAGACTCAGGGCTACAATCAAGCCTGGCCTTAAATCACCGTCTTTTGCCTTAGAAAGATAAGGCATCATAACCCTGTGCTGCTCCATCAGCAGATAGGGACCATCCAGGAACTCCAGGTGTTTCTTTCTCAGCTTAAGGCATTTAGAGATGTGTAAGCTAGTGCCAGCTAGGGTATAGCAGTTTTCGAATAGAGCCTGGTCCTGCCAATGCCTACATCTGGAAAGTGTTGACTACATTGTTTAATGCATGCTGTGGGAGTGTCCAGAGTATCAGAGGGAACTGAAAAAGCTTAGATATGGTGCAACCAGGGTGAGTCAGTCAGCTCGGAAGTGGAGCACTTAGTTAGGGTCTGTTGTGTTTACAGCTGACTTGCCTTCCTCCCCTTCTGTCCTTTAAAAGACAGGAGAAAGCTGCCCAAGCTGCCTTCCCAGATGCCTACAGACAAAGTGTAATTGATGGATGAGGGGGACTGATCCCACTTGTGAGTATTGAACTAAGAATCCTAAATGATGTTAAAGAAAATCCTAAATGGCTCCTCTATTCAAATATAGCTGTTCTTTCCAGCACACCCACTCTTTGAGAAGCCAAAATTAGAAATGAAATTTCTTAGGCCAGAGTGACATGTCCCCAGTATACCTGTTAAGGCAGGGATGTAAGGAAGGAGGATGTCAGACACAGTTGGGAGCCTGGGGTACTGCGGTGGACACAGCAGGCCTGGGAACATTCATTCAACAATTTACTAGTGTCTCCCATGAGCCAGGTACTGTTTTAGGGATGGGAAATACTATAATATCTTTTAAAATAGTTTATTTTTATTTACTCCTCTTGTTCATACAGCCTTCTTATTGGTATATATGTATAGAGAAATTTCTTGAGAAAATTTTTATCAGATATAAAAATAGAGGGTATTTGTGGCTTTCATCTTTGTGTCTTTTATTATTTCTTGATTTTTTAATACAAGCAGCATATGTCATTTTAATTTATTTCAAAAATCCTCTAAACATTTTTTAAAGAAACAGAGATAAGCCATATATAACAAAGATAAGCCAGAGCAGAGGAATCTTATGATTGGCATCCCAGGTCCTGAGATATGTTGCATTGCACATTGGAGCTATGGGGATCAGAAGAGGAAACAATGTGTCTGGTGAATGCTTTTAGTTTATAGAACAGAAGGAAAAATTTTCCAGCTATGTTGGTTTCATGGCAACTCTCCATCTGCTATTGGAATCAAGAGCAAAACACTTTTCAGCAAGCGGCAGTCAGTATGTGCAAGTCCCTCCTCTGCACTCATCCCTGTAGAGTTCCTGGTGAAGATGCATGAGCACAGGAAGCAGCTGCTCCCATCCCCTCCTGCTCCAATTCCTGAGAACCGTGGTGCCACCTTCTCACTAAGTATAGAAGCTGTGCACGTTTCTTTTGCATTCATAATGCCCAGGAATTGTGGGGGGGAAATGGGGAAAAAAGTCTGTATCTTTTAAAACCTTCTTTCTTCCTTCCCAAATTTCACCACGGCAGCCTTCTTTCTTTCTCATAGCTCTGATTGAATATCCTTACAGTTAAGACAGTTATGGGTGGAGTTCTTGTCTGGCCTGTCCCCCTTGCCTGGCCTGTCCCCCTTGCCTGTATTTTTACTTCCCAACAGGGAAGTCAAATGGTAGAATCCAAATAGTGATTTTTCTAAAGAGTAATCAATGGTTATTATAAAGAAGCAAGGAGTGTTGGTGTGTGTGTGTATGTGTGTGTGTTTATGTTGGGTGGCGGATACAGAGGTTAGGATCGTAAGAAAAAAAAAATTGAATGTGGCAATATTGTTGCCAGTTATATTTTAAATCAATAATGGTAACTGAAAATAAACTTGTTGGTCTCCTTACTTAAACATCATATCCTAAACATTCTTGATCTGGAGTCCCTATTGCCTACCTTTATCAAGAAAGGCCTCGAAAATGAATCCTACTACTCATGTGTGATGAGCATATAGTTAAGTATATGGGAACCCAACTGCCGAGGATCAAATCCCATCTCTGCCCCTTTCTATGTATCCTTGAGGAAGTTATTTAACCATGACTCACCTTCCCCTCTGTAAAGTTGGAATAATGGGTCATTGTGAGGATTAAACAAATGAATCTATTAGAAGAATTTAGAACGATGCTTGGCACCAGCAAGTGCGCATTAGTATTAGAAATTATCCTAATTAACATTCATTTTATTCATCTCATCATCCCCACTGTCTTCCCCGCCCACCACAGACTTGCTTCCATACCCGCACTCCCTGCTTATCCTCCTGAGTTCACTCTCATTCAAAGCCTCATCGTAGGAACCTCTCTGCTACACAATATGCTATGGAGCCTTCTACGGCATGTTTGCTTCACTCTTGTGTCGCTGACTCTTCCTTCTTAGGTTTCTTTATGGGCTCCTCTCTCCTCATCCTTCACTCACTCCGTGATTTTAATGACCACTTCTTTACTCATGACTCCCAAATGAAAATCTAGTACATATTTGGTTGATAGGGTCTGCCCCCTCTCGGCAGGAATGACCGCTGCAGTTTTCAACAGCCCCCAGCCCTTCCGAGCATTGACTTTCCCGGCTGCTTCCTTTAATGCAAACATTTGAGCTTGCCGACCTAGAAGTACAGTGTACAAACACTGAATTACTTAGTGTCCCGCGCATATCACTGGTTTGTACTTATTTTCTTGTACGCGGCTCATCCTTTTTCCTTTAACTGCAGCAGAGGCTAAACATCCTTCAGGACTCAGTTCCACTCTCCAGCAGCTTTTCTCTGAACTCATGATGGACTCAGCGTCCTTTTACGTATTCCCAAATCGCACCGTACATCCTTCTGTCACATCTCTTGCCACATTATATTCGGATTAAATGTTTGTATCATGCTTGAGTTCCTCACAGGTCTCACCTCACGTCGCTGGTTGATAGGGTCTGCCCCCTCTCGGCAGGAATGACCGCTGCAGTTTTCAAAAGCCCCCAGCCCTTCCGAGCATTGACTTTCCCGGCTGCTTCCTTTAATGCAAACATTTGAGCTTGCGGACCTAGAAGTACAGTGTACAAACACTGAATTACTTAGTGTCCCGCGCATATCACTGGTTTGTACTTATTTTCTTCTACGCGACTCATCCTTTTTCCTTTAACTGCAGCAGAGGCTAAACATCCTTCAGGACTCAGTTCCACTCTCCAGCAGCTTTTCTCTGAACTCCTGATGGACTCAGCGTCCTTTTACGTATTCCCAAATCGCACCGTACATCCTTCTGTCACATCTCTTGCCACATTATATTCGGATTAAATGTTTGTATCATGCTTGAGTTCCTCACAGGTCTCACCTCACGTCGGGACCGACTGGAGATCCTCAGTGGAAATTTCGGGAGCCATTCATTTTATTCATTTCATCATTCTCTCAACCATAAAGAAGGCAGCGACGACTGACCCATATCTTAAAGGAGGATATGCTGTCAAATAACTGTTCTGCTCTAACTGCTGTGCAGGCGCAGGGCGTACCAGAGAACTACAACTCCCGTGAGGCTCCGCTCTCCACGCCTGCGCAGAGCCCAGGGCCACGTCGCTTTTACGGCGCCAGATACGCGCCGCATCCATGGCTGCCGCGGGCTCCCGTCGGGTGGCGGATGGCGGTGGTTCTGGGGGCACCTTCCAGCCCTACCTAGACTCCTTGCGGCATGAGCTGCAGCATAGGGACCCGACGCTGTTGTCAGTAGTGGTGGCGCTTCTCGCAGTGCTGCTGACGCTAGGTAAAGAGGCAGCCAGTGGTCATGGCGGGTTTCGGCTGAGCTTTTGCAGGCCGCGGACGCGGGGCTGGGAGGGCACTTTGGGAGGGTTTAAGGAGAGAGGCTCATCCCTTCTATCACCCTACCCTCTTGTTTGAAGTAGCCGCAGCAGCGCTGCGTTAGAGGGGGTTCCCGGGCCAACCCCGGCGTGACGTGCTAGTCTTCGGGCCCAGGTTACTCTTCATCTGCCCCTGTTAGGCCGGAGCTGGCGGTACCCCCGCCCCCACTTCTGTTATTCTTATGGCGGAGACTCACAGGGTCTTCGCACCATTTAGCTTCCTGGGTTTGCGAGCAGGGTTCTGGGGATACAAAGGTAGTAACGTAGCACTTGAGACCATGAGGAGTCCGCAGTGGAGGTAAGGGTTGCAGGCACAGAAAGGCTGACAGCTGATAGTGGCTGGCACTCGGTGGGTCCCTAACAACAGTGACTATTATAATAGTGGTAATAACAGTCAATAAAAGTAAATTGTGGGTGGAGGAGGTGTTTTGTCGGAGAATTCTGTTAATTTCCCCACCCCAATCATGCACACATATTACTGCTTATAAAGGCATAATAATTTTGGTGGTTTTTCTCTGTCTATTCCACAGTGTTCTGGAAGTTCGTCCGGAGCAGAAGGAGCAGTCAGAGAGCTGTTCTTCTTGTTGGCCTTTGTGACTCCGGGAAAACATTGCTGTTTGTCAGGGTAAATGTTTTGATTTACACCTCTGTTACTTAATTAGAACATTTTATGTCATCCCAGTATTCCTGTGGGATTTCCATGGTAAATTTGGCAAAAGAAACTTATGCTAGCAAATTTGGGAGTTAATTCTTGACTGAACTTGGGAGGACAAAAAGACTCTTGGAAAACCCATAAACTAGAATTTTGTGACCATTTCTATTTTTTTGCACTTGCCAGATGCTGACATTTAGTCTTTATCACATTTAAGGGTTTTTATAACTAGTTTCATTCCGTGGCTAAGGATGACAAAAAAGCTGAAGCTGTTGACTTATATATAGTTCATAATTCCTTGGGTAACAAACCCTTCTGAGAGCTTGTCAAAGACCTTTTTTTAAGAGTGATCCTTCTTTGACATATTGAGATAGTCAGACTTCTTTTCACTAATATTTATTTTTAGTGTATTTAGTATTTTTAACCGAGTATGTGTTTTAACTATGGAGAATAGAGGAGGTTTTCTGTTTTTTATTCTTCGTTTTGAGAGGATAAATTATTTGCCTTCTAAAGAAATATAATCTTGAATTGTTTCTGATGGTTAAACATGTTTTTAAAAGGTTGGTCAATTTGGCCACTTACTGTAGTTTGAGAATAATGTTATTTTTTCTCCCATTGAGGAGAGGGGAATAAAGTTGGCAATTAACTAGATTTTTCTACAGGTTAAAAAAAAAATCGGTATGGTCCTTTTCAGCTGTTGCAAGCCGCATTCATTTTCAGTTTAGGTGTGCTATTAATATGTTTGCACTGATCTCTTCTATCTTGTTTTTTGTAGTTGTTAACAGGCTTGTACAGAAACACTCAAACTTCCATTACCGACAGCTCTGCTGTATACAGAGTCAACAATAACAGGGTAAGATGTTAGTGGAATACTGGAGTCTGACAATCTTACTCTATTGTGGCATATCAGGAGAGGACATTTGTAGGATAAATTAGGTACCGTTTGTAGCTTATTTTTACGGAGAAACATATTTTATGTGACAAATTCTGCTCTTGACAGTCTGGGCAGCAGATTTAATCATGGCCACCTCTCCTTAGTTGTACTTTATTTATGATAATGTGACATCACATTTTATTCTTATTTTTTGTTTCTGTGTCTGCTTTCCAACTTTACTATGAGTTCTTAAGAATAGGCATTAAGACTTTTTCTTTTGTTTTGAATAGGTAATACACATACATGGGACAAATATTCAGAAAGTTAAAAAGGGTATTTGGTGAAAAGTAATTTTTTCATTCCTGGCCCCACTACCTAGTCTTTCCTATAGAAGCAGTAACTGTTACTTTTTTCTTGATTAACCTTCCAGATGTCCCTTGCATATACAAACATATCTGTATATCATTTAACACTCTGTTCTGCCCATTATTTTTTATATTTAACAATATAGCTGATACAACTTGGGTCTTTCTTTTTCTCCCACAATTGTACATAGTAACCTGGTTGATTTATAACCTGCGTAATATTCCATTGTGTGGCTATACCATTCAATTAAATTCTTATTTAATTAGAGCCCTGTTAACAGACAGTTTTGTTTGTTGTTATATAATCTTTTTGCTTTTACAAGCAATGCTGTAATGGATAATCTTAAAGAGTATATGAAAATTTATTTCAAAAATACCCATAAAAAATCATGGGAAAGGCTATTTATGTACCTGTGTAGCTCCAGAACATAGACATTGACTGCCAAGCCAATTGTTATGCTTAAGTTTTGGCGAGTGAGTGGAGTAAGGGCTGGGTGGCTGGTTGGAGGGGTGGATGGATGGATAGATAGTTGAATTAGAATGGTGATCTTAAAGACCTTTTCCCCTTTTTTTGTATTCCTCCTTCCCCTTTCTGTTTAATATTTCTACAATTAAACATTGTAAGTAAAGATAAAGGGACATCCTTTTAAATGTCTTAGAGATATTCTTGGTTTCTTTTTTCCAATGATGGCACTTTTTCTGGCCTAGATCTTTTTAAACTTCCAAGGATTAAGATTTTGAAATTTCATATTTGGAAGATCATTAATTTGGGGGGTATATGTACCAGATTTTTTTTTTTTTCCTTTTTGTCTTTTTTTCGTGTCCGGCAACGAATCGCAACCCTCAGTGTCACGCCCGTACTGGACCGGGGACCGGCAACGGGATCGCAAACCTCGGTGCTGCCCCCGCACCTCGCTCAGCCAGTGAGCGGGAACCGGTCTGTATGTGGGATCCGAACCCTCGGCGGGAGCGCCACCGCGCTTCCCAAGCGGTGCACTGTAGCAGTGCGCCACCGGGCTGGCCCGTACCAGATTTTTTTTAAGTGGGGATTATAGGATATGCTTTAGACCTGTACCTTCCAGTACAGTAGCCACTGACCAAGTGTGACTATTGAACACCTGAAATATGACTAGTCCAAATTGAGGGTGGTTTTTTTTTTAAATTACATGTTAAAGGATAATATTTTGGATATATTGGATTAAATAACATTATTAAAATTAACTTTATCTATTTCTTTTTACTTTTTTAACATGATTACTAGAAAACTAAAATTTAAAATTAAATGTGGCTTACATTTCTGTTGAATACATAGAACATTCCTCCCTTCTTTCTTCATTCCCTCTTCCCACCCCTTATGTTTTAGATCTGATATCTCTAGATAGTAATGTACTTAGTTAAGTATATTCTGAATTGCTTGTAGTGTGTAGTACAGTGTTGTTTTTGAAATGGACCAGTAGGTCCCAATTTGAGGTACACAGACTCTTACTAGTATTTTTTTTTTAAAAACGCTAATAGCCATTTATATTTGTGTATAAAGAACTGCATAGGCTATCTGAAGGATCATAATAAATCCAGCTGAAATTGTGTAAAATCTGCACATGATGCTGACTTCCTCCTGCAGAACTATGGCTATGGTTAGCTGTAGATAGAACATCTGAGAAATGAATCATGGGTCTGATACATGTGCCAGAGCCACATCTGAGAGTCTTATCATTGAGCACAGCCATATCTACATTGAACATGAGGTCAGGGATGAAGGCCTGGAATGGTGAATAGCACTTGTTAGGGTGCATAATAGGATAACTCAATAGGGCTGAAGAATTGGCACAAAATATTGACAGATTTGGAACACATAAATGGTAAGTCTGGTAGACAAATATTTAAAAATTAAAGGGTAAAAATGATAAAAGGGTCCTTCATTATAAAAATTGGGGATCTCAATAATAGTAACATACTCTATGATAAATTTAAAATTCTTATATTACATTCTTATTTTGTGAGTATTTGTTACTGTTTTTCACATGTTTTTGCTTTTACTCATTCCAGTATATCTCCCAAGCCTCAAGTAGTCAAACTTCTCTGACTCCCCCAGACAGAGTCAGGTTTCTCATGTACCCTGAGAACATTTATTAAAGTTGTTATTTTATATTTATACTTAATTTTATGTTGTGTTCATCTTTTTCATTATAAGTCATATTAGATCAGGAACCATGTCGTTGCTCACTGTTCTATCCCTAGGAGCTTCGACCAGTGTTTTTGTTTGTTTGTTTATTGACACGTTGTAATTATACATTCTTAATGCAGTATCTACTGATGTTTTATTAGTAGAAGATGCTCCATGATCATTTGTTTGATTCATTAATTAATTCGGCACCAGTCTGGTACCCATAATCTGATACCAAATGATTATATCATGAACATGGAACTGGACTGAAACATTAACTTAATGTTATTGCTGCCATTCTCAGGGCAATAGCCTGACCTTGATTGACCTCCCTGGCCATGAGAGCTTGAGGCTTCAGTTCTTAGAGCGGTTTAAGACTTCGGCCAGGTAAGTAGGAGGGAAGTGAAATGGGCTTGTCTGAAGTCTGTATATCGAGGCCACTCATGCTGCTGTGGTGTTATTCAGAAGGCAGCATCGTGTCCTGGAGTAGAAAGAGCATGGACCTTGGAGTCAGCCAGTTAACGGGTTGCAAGCCCATCTTCGCTAGGAATATGAGGATGTTATGAGATAAGGCTTACGAAGTGTTTCTCAGAGTATTCAGGAAGTGTTAACTTTCATCCTGGCTATTATATTTGCATTTACTCTGAAGATGAATTTAATGACGTGCAGGACTATTAAAATCTGAACAAAGAATTTTAAAACTAGGAGGGATCGGGCCGGCCCGTGGCTCACTTGGGAGAGCGTGGTGCTGACAACACCAAGTCAAGGGTTAAGATGCCCTTACCAGTCGTCTTTAAAAAAAAAAAAAATAGGAGGGATCCCAAAAGTTATTAAAATTAAACATTATATATACAGTAAGTTTATTTTTAAGTCACCTAAAATTGATGCCTCAGGAAATACAGAACAATTGTTTTCATATTTCTTTAGTATCTGCCCTAATGTTATTGACTCTTAAATTCTTTCCTAAAATTTTTATGCTGCAGTTTCAGATGCTTTTTTCATGTTTGGTCCCTAACACTGATAAGAACTGAAGAAGGAAATCAGTATGCCACATTTCAGTGATTTGAAAACATGTTTTAATATCTCTGAATTTGGAATTCTTTTTATAGTTGATGGAGTCATATAAATTAATAAAAAATTAAGTTGGCAGTATTTTCTTTCTTAGTGGTACCTGAAATAATAACATGTCTTTTAACTGATGGGATCTTAGGTTTGATGGAATGATGGAATGAGATAGTTGGCTGTTTTGCTTTTTGTTGAAGATGTCTAGACTTTTGATGTTGCTTCCTTGCCCACAAGATGGTGATGATGAACAATTTGTCCCAGATGAGAATGTGATTTTTACCCCTCTGACAGTTGAGACAAACCTAGAAATGGTAAAGTTTTGTTAATTTCTAATTAAAAAATTTGGGGGGGGCCGGCCCGGTGGCGCACTGGACAGTGCGCCGCTTGGGAAGCGCGGCGGCGCTCCCGCCCGAGGGTTCGGATCCCACATACAGACCGGTTCCCGCTCACTGGCTGAGCAAGGCGCGGGAGCAACACCGAGGGTTGCGATCCCGTTGCCGGTCCCGGTCCGGTACGGGGGCGACACTGAGGGTTGCGATCTGTTGCCAGACACGGAAAAAGACAAAAAAAAAATTTTTTTTGACACATGAGTATTTTCACTATTGTTGCCTCAGGTAAGACCCCATCCAGTTACTCTCATTCTACTTTTATTGCCCTCTAAGATTTTTCTGTCTTCCCCACTTAGGCACCAATATTCTTTGTAAGACAGAAAAGCATGAACTCCACAGGTCAATGTGTCCAACCCTTCGCTATCTGACTTGGTTTTCCCCAGTTTCCCATCTCCCTGTATACCAGCTTACCTTGTCTTCTCCAGGGTATGTGTTTCACTTGTTTGTGCCTGGAACATGCTACTTTCCAGACAGTCTGTGCCCCAGTTACCCGTCTGGCTAAAATTTAGCTCAACTATTAAATCCTCCTTTAAGTCTTCTTTGACCTGTTCTCATTCAAATTATCTTCCTCATTGTTCCTGTGCATAGTTCTGTCTTGGCGTTCATCATACAGTTCTCTATATGATGATTTCTTGGTCTTTGAGGGAAGGCATCATTTCTTATTATCTTTTCAGCTTTAGTCATTGATACATAGTTGCACTCAATATTCTTTGTTAAATAAAAATTTATGTTGTGTAAGTACATGTGCATAGACCTGCATGTGTGTCTGTTGTGTGTTATTCACCAGGATTGGATTTGAAGAAATTAAGGATACAGTTTTTCAAGATAATGATGCTCTATTGCATGTTTACATGCCAGTTTTTTTTTTCTCCCTCCAGGGCTGTTGTGTTTGTTGTGGATAGTGCAGCATTCCAGCGAGAGGTGAAAGATGTGGCTGAGTTTCTGTATCAAGTCCTCATTGACAGTATGGGTCTGAAGAACACACCAGCATTCTTAATAGCCTGCAATAAGCAAGGTGCCATCATGTTTTCTGGCAATAATAATTGAGATTTTTCTGGGATTGCTACTAAGAATTAGTTCAGTTATATACAGCTGTTTTTATTGAGGATGAGAGGCAATTGAAGGATTTTAAATCTTAACATTTTTCTACTCTTACCTTTTCACCAGTCTTTTTACCAGGAGGCTAAGGAATGACAACAGAGTGACGTATCAATTTTTCTTTGATATAGTTTTTTTTTGAGATTATAAATTATTTTTACTTTACCAAGTTAAGTTCTTTGACAGTATGTCATATCAGATACACAATTTTGGAAGGGGAGGGTGGAGTCTCTCCTTTCAAGCAAGTTTACCATTCAGCAAATTTTATCAAGGAGAGTTTACAGAAGTTATTTTCCTTTAACCTGAGAAACATTTAAAATTTTCTAGTCATACCCTAAAACCGAGCTTCAATTCCATTACTAGTAAAATAAGGTAGACTAGTTGATCTCTTCAGGTCTCTTTCAGAACAGCCCAAGCATTTCTTAGCAGTGGTCAGATAATAACTCTATTAATGCCTAATCAGAATGAAATTATTAGCATCATTACCTGACCTTCACTTTATTTGTCTTATTCAGTATAAGGAAAGGAGTTAATGTTTATTTGGCATGTGTTTTCTGCCAAACCAGGGCTTGTTCCTTACCTGTACTGCACTTGATGCTTTAACATTATTTCTTAGTATCAGACGGATACATACTAAGTTTACTTTTAAATGACAGGAAGGGTATTGTCTGTTGGGAGAAGGCTCTTGATAGAGGTTTTCTTTTTGTTAAAGTGACTGGACTTATATATGTATTGAATTGAAATGTCTATAAGGTGTGAATAAGTAGTAAAAGAGATAAAGTCAATTTTAGGGTCATCAGTGTAATATGTTTATAAGCATTATCTTGGGGAAACTCGTGCAAATACAAAGCTTACTTTTATAGAGAAGGAACTATGATAAAAGCTCTTTTTAAAAAAGAGAAAAAAACTTACTGGTTTAAATAGGAATTTTCCTTCTCTGCAAGAACCTTTGGAAAAGACCTGTTCTGGTTTAAATTACAGGTGTTTTTATTTCTTTACAGATATTGCAATGGCAAAATCAGCAAAGTTAATTCAACAGCAGCTTGAGAAAGAACTGTAAGTGTGAATGAGGACTGCTGGTTAATTATATGTCTGAACACTTAAGCAGTGTGTTCGTATTTCTTTGGTTGTGTATGATTATTATTACGATCAGTGTGAAATATACTTGTTCACTAATTTACAAAAGAATTAATGGAATTATTAAAAGCATTAGTAGGATGTTTATAGATATTTTAAAATTTCATGAAAAGATTTCAGGTTTATCGAAACCATAAGCTCAATTTATTTTACCACTGTTAACTTATTTATAGTAGAAATGAAAAATTTTGGAAATTAAAAAATTTTACACACCAAGTTTAGAACAGTTATTTCAGTAAATGGAAATGCTTGTTCACCACACAGTAATGCACGTAGAACAGTGTTTAAAGGCGTATTTAAAAAATAATGATAATAAAAATAAAATCTGGGGCCGGCCCGGTGGCGCACTGCTACAGTGCGCCGCTTGGGAAGCGCGGCGGCGCTCCCGCTGAGGGTTCGGATCCCACATACAGACCGGTTCCCGCTCACTGGCTGAGCGAGGCGTGGGAGCAACACCGAGGGTTGCGATCCCGTTGCCGGTCCCGGTCCGGTACAGGCGCAACACTGAGGGTTGCGGTCCGTTGCCGGACATGAAAAAAGACAAAAAAAAAAAAAAATCTGGGAATCGGGAAAAAAAGAAACTAAAAAATTTTAAAGCTATTGGAAATTATTGTTAGCCAAATAAGAAAGGAACACTTTAAAAAATCTGTGATACTATCTTGTAGCTTTTTATTTTGTTTTCAAGCTACTTGGTAATATTATTTACCTGCTTTTAGTATTTGAAAATATGTAAATTGAGCTATGAGCTTTTGAATTTTAAGGAATCCAGCATGTCTTTGTGCTGTGCCAGTTTACAAGAGCTAGCCGAAAGTTTGCTTAGACAGAAGAAATGATGAACAGTACTGTGAAGCAAGTTACGTTTTCTTACTGCTTTTGTTAATGGCTTTTTATTTCTTAAAGAAAAGAATCTGATGAGGGAAAACTATTATTTCAACTTCTACAGCATTTTTCCCCACTATGATTTATTTACTTATTCATTCCTTTAACAAGCACCTGTAGTATGTGTAGTATAAGCCAAGCCCTGCACTCAGGATATGGCTATAGGAGGAAACATGGTGAAATTCATGTACTCAGGTGCTTAGAGCCAAAGAGACTGAAGATAAAAATAAATGATCTGTCTACCTACACTTAATTTTTCAGAAACTTAACATTTTTATAACACAGCATATATGTTAAAAATATATTTAAAAAATGGCATCATTCAGTAGATCCTAGTAGAAGGAGACCCTGGGCTAAAAGAAAGTTGGTGTGACCTGGGTCCACTCTTGACCTGCTGCCATCTAGCTGTGTAGGGTTGTACCTTCATCTCACCTGTCTGTCCAAAAGAGTTATCTATAAATGCAAATGATTATTCAACAATTTTGATTAATAGCATGATTGACAGTTTTATGATTAAGTTTTAAATGAGTGCTGAAATATTTAGGAATTAATATTATTTAATTACTGTATAAAAATTTTGCTTCCCGACTTGTTTTTCTTTTGCCCCACAGCAACACCTTACGAGTTACCCGTTCTGCTGCCCCCAGCACACTGGAGAGTTCCAGCACTGTCCCTGCTCAACTGGGAAAGAAAGGCAAAGAATTTGAATTCTCACAGTTGCCCCTCAAAGTGGAGTTCCTGGAGTGTAGTGCCAAGGGTGGAAGAGGGGATACTGGCCCTGCTGGCATCCAGGATGTGGAGAAATGGCTGGCAAAAATTGCCTGAGAGGCAGCTCCGTAGCACAAGATGTGGATGTGTGTGTGTGTGATTGATAGTGTTGCTAAAAGAGCTGTGGTAGTCTGGAGTCTATAGAGAAGAGGTATAAAGTGTGGTTAGAAACATTGCCTTGTTCTGGAAACAAATCATTGCTGAAACAACTTGGAATTTTTTTTTTTTTTTTAAGTTCAGTTCTTCCTTACGGCTCCCTTTCAAAACAAACCACTTTTATTTGACTCTTGTATCTTCTGTTTGTTAAGGTGTGTGTAGTGTCCCTCTAGTATATGGCTTGATGTAGGGTCAAGGTCTTTGTGGCATAACAAGCAGACTCCACATTGAGAGGATATTACCATGAGAAAATGGTATAATCTGCAAAGTTTTCTTATCTTCTGCTTCTGTGCTTTGGTTCCTTTTTCCTGGAAACAAACTTGCCTATTTATGAAACCAGTTGATTTCCAGTTGCCCCTGATGTTCACGGGCGATACATTGTTCAGTCTCAGATCTGTAGGTACTATTACAGTATAGTTTCCTCACATGTGAAGACAGGTACAACACAAGGCTGACTTGACAGTAGGTCTATTTATCAGTCAGTGATGTGTCCATACTCCAGCCTCAGCACTTAGATTCAAAAGCTTGTGGTGAACCTTTGGAACCGTATGACAACTGTAAATGCTAAATCTCCAAATACCAAGGGTCTGCTGTTTTCTGGTGGTTATACCGGGGGGCGGGGGGGGAGTATAGGGAGATTTTTGACACTGTTCTGTTTCTCTGGATGGCTGAGGGCTCCTGGGCTATCTTCATGTACTGCTCCATTGATCAGCTCCTATTTTGTACCCCTAGCTACTGTGCTGTGGAAGAAATACAAAATGAAAAAAGTTCTCTGTAGGTTTTGAAGTGCATGTTCATTGATGCTAAAAACAAAACAGCAAAAAACCAGTCTGCCTTTTCAAAGTGATGTTCTTTGCTATCTTCTTAACATCTGTTTTTTTTTAAATTGCTTTTATAAGTGATTAGTACAGTTCTTGGTAAATAAAACAACCTGTCTGGCTCAAAGCAATTGAATTGACAGTGTAGTGAGTACAAATTTGGATCCAGGCCTAACTCCAAGTTTCCTGAGCCTAAAGATTGCAATGTACACAGGAACAAACTTTTCTATCCCTACTTCACACACTCAGGGACAAGCCCAACTAAAATTTACAAGGAGACAAGGAGGCTGTGAATAAGTGACAAGCCAATCACAGAACAGTGTAGTAAGAGTCAGAATAGGGGAGGTGCGGGGTACTCTGGGAGCATGCAGCAGGGGCACCTAATCTGGCCCTGAGGGATCAGGGAGAATCAAAAAAGAAATGCGTGTGGCGGATAACATCTGAGTGGGCATGGGTCCCATGTATGCTAAAGCTCAGGCCTCTGCTGTCTCATGCATCCTTTCCTGTGGGTCACTTAGGCTCTGAGAGTACAGATCATGTCAGACCATTGCCTTTCCTGACAGAAATACTCCAGACCCCCCCCCACCCCACCATACAAGACTGTATCGGTCTTGCTGGTGCACAGATAAATGCATCATGAAATGGAGAAGTTGTTAGACCTTGATGCTGTCAGTTATTTGAAAGCTACATTGCTGCTAGTGTTATTTCTTATAGACTATTTCTTGCCCTTTTCCTTATTAGCCAAGTAGTAGGAAGTACGTAAGAACAATGAACCAGAAATCAGAAAGGAACTATGAATGTGACATGGTCACATAATCATAGTAAGTGCTCATGTGAATAAAAATCAGGCTTGACGCTTCTTTTAAGAGGGATGTGTTCTCTTGGCCTCTTGTTATTTTTCTGGTTAATAAAAAGTGTTCCATTTTTTTGGGCCGGCCCGGTGGTGCACTGCTATAGTGCGCTGCTTGGGAGCGCGGCGGCGCTCCCGCGGAGGGTTTGGATCCCACATACAGACCGGCCGCTCACTGGCTGAGCAAGGTGCGGGTGCAACACTGAGGGTTGCGATCCCGTTGCCGGTCCCAGTCCGGTACGGGCGTGAGGGTTGCGATCCGTTGCCGGTCACGAAAAAAGACAAAAAGGAAAAAAAAAAAGTGTTCCATTTTTTTAGAAGAACCAGTATACCAAAAAAGTGAAGAAGGGGAGCGAGGTTGAGTTTTCTTAGGGCCTAAAGATGGTCTGAAAAAGGAAAGATATCCAGACAGTGATTCTCAGATGTTAGTGGGCATCAGAATTACTTGTGATGCTTGTTAAACAGTCCGATTTGAGGAGCCCACTCCTAGAGATTCTGATTCAAGCAGTCTGGTGTGGTCTCGAATGTGTGTGCTTAACAAGTCTTTTGCCAGTCACATACAACTTCTTGCGGGGGGTGGGGGGGGCACCACCCTTAGAGATGATTATCTTGCCTGGAGTTTCACATGCGCCTTTCGTATATTTTGTTTTTAAGCCTTTAGGACCACAAATCCTGTTTAGCTTTTCTAACAGGGTGAAGTAAGCAAGCAGCTTACAGGATCCTTTCTGTGAGCTCTCATCCTGCTTCCTACTCCTGTGCTATAGTCATTCCATCCTTGTGGGTGTGGGCCAGGATGAGGACATGGCAACTAGTCCTTGGGAGCTGGGAAGGGTTTTGATGGGAGGTCAAATGTGTTCTCTACTCACTTGGTGTCTTCTTGTGGTCCTGAAGCCATTCAACCAAAGTAGGTCCATCTCTTCATGAGATTGGAGGCAAGCATGGCCAGAGTGGAAAGAGTGATTTTGGGGCAGGGGGACGGGCAAGCTAGGCATGACTGTATGTCAGATGAGACAATAATGGCTTGAAACACCTTGGGAACATGGCAGTGTCTGAGACTCCTCGTGTGTATGGGCACCGAGACCTACCAGGAGAGCAGCCACCTGCTGGTGAATGACCCTGTTCCCTGCCAACAGAGAGAGGCTCCCATGAGCAAGCCCCAGGCACCCCACTGGTAAATATATCCACTTCTGGAATGGAATATTCCAGTGCGTATGGAGCACACATGCAGACCAAGAGGGGTCTGGGCACTGGCTGCACACTGTTTTTGCTTCATTTTCTTCCTTTTGGCAGCTGGCCGGTGCAGGGATCTGAACCCTTGACCTCAGTGTTACAAGGTGGCGCTCTAACCTACTGAGCCAACCAGTCAGCCCCTGCATGCTGTTTTTTTATTCTGGCTCTTCTTTCAAGCCCCTTTTCCAAGGATTTGAGGGCCATGGTAGCCTCTCCACTACCAGGCGCCTGACAATTTGCTGGGGGGGCCTACTTCCTGAATGACAGCTGCTGTTGGTGGGGAGTCCCTGGGATCTGCCACTTCTTCCTATGGCCTCTGTGTCAGCTCCTCCTGAGATGCCAGCATTCCCTGAGGTCTTGCCATGTGTGAGGGACTTAGCTGTGCTCTGTTGACTTGAATATTGCTTCAAGTATTGAAATCATTCTGTTTCAGCTGGAATATGCTTTACCTTACTTTTTTTTTTTCTTTCCCCAATTTGAGTTTAGCATAGAGTGACCTACACTCTTGTACGTGGATGAGGAAAACCACCCTGAGCAGCATCCCTGGATGTCACACTGTGCACTTTAGGCAGGACATTGACCACAACTCCATAATCTTCACTTTCATGTCTGGAGAATCCCAACAGTGCTTCCTTAGTCTGGCAAGGGCAGGGGCTGCTGAACAGCTGTGAGTGTAAACACCACACCCGGTGAGATCATTCACTGTGTTTGCAGCGTAGTCATGTTGCCCTGAATACCATAATATTGGAGAATGACTGCTTGTCTTGGAACAGCTTTACTTTGGCCTTAATCTGGCCTATGCAAGCATCTACTCTTGGCTTGCAGCCCTCTGCACCTTGTCCTTTGTACCTTCTTTAACTCATATTTTACAACTGGCAGTCAGAAAAAGTAAGGCTTAGTGGGCAGGGACATACATTTCTTCTCCCTTCTAATCAGAGATGGCTTTCTTGAGGTGGCAGATTGAAAGTTGTTCCAGAACATTTAAAGAGGGAAAAGGTAACTAGTGAAGTTGGACTTGAAGAATGAGATTCCCAGCATTCTCAAGCCAGAGCAATTCTGCACCTAATCTTGGCCTTTGTGTACTCTTTGGGTTGGTCCCAGAAACATCATGACTCTCAGGGCATCTTTTAGTCAAGATGACTGAGACCTGAAGGGGCCTCTCAGAGATGTCCCCTAACTGGTGTGGGGTGAGGTTGGGGGTGGCATGTGGCAGCCTTGTGTCTTCTGAAAGGCGATTACGGTTTGCTTTAAACGGCACCCTGGAAATCACCAGAAGGACAAGAAATCCAGTCGTCCCCTCCCCACCCTTCAGAACCCCCAGCCATGGCAAGTAGAGTGGGGATGATGGTAAATATCACAACCCAAGTCTCAGTTCTGCCTAGAGTCTCCCTTTCGATCGGTCTTTAGGCAGGATGGAGATTATGGGAATGCCTGTGGATTGAATCTCATTAATGTGTGCCACCTTTCCCCCTTCAGAGGGGAGGAGGAGGAAGAAGCAAAGGGCTCTGGGTAGTGGACATATCACACAGACACGAAAAGAGGGTCTTTGTGGAGCATGCACTTGAGAAAATCTGTTTCTGAATCCCCCATACATGATTTTGCCACTTAGAAACATTAGACAAGAGGCTTTGTGTTGAGAATTAAGACAGTTTATTGTTTGACCAACATGCTGAGTCTTTTCCACGTTTTACACAGTTTAATGTAAAGTCAGTGTGGCCACGAAGCCTTCTGAGCCTGTAAGAGATGGAAATGCCACCCTCTGTGCTCCTCACAACCAATCACTTTAAAGGGATGGGTGAGGGGAAATTGAGGGGAGAAGTTGACACACCACGAGATGCAGGCTGGACTTTGCTGCTAGGGAGGCTTCCCACCTCCTGAAGGATCCATTTAAACCCTGCTGCAAGGTTTTCCTGATAAACCATACCCTCCTGGGAGTGTCAACCAGAACGGGGGTCGAGTCCAGGAGGTTGCACATTGAGATCCCAAGGTTTAGAATAATTTCAAATAAAAATTCAAAGGGTGCCCTGATCTGGGTGGGTGCCCAAGACAATCGAGAGTAGACTTGGGGACTGGCCCTTCTTTGCAGACCTCTGCCTCACTGCTTAGCAAGGTGACCATGCCTCACATTCCTTGGGGAGAGGTAGTTTGGAAACAAGTGAGCATACAGCCCTGCCTGGTTGGTGCACACAGACATCTGCACAGCTGCCCCACATGTGGCTCAGACATGCTTCACGGTCCTCGGCTACGTGGTCTTATAACCTGACAGCCTCACCTGCCTTCTGTCCTGTGAAGGAATGATGCTGTTCTACCTGCAGGACGGTGAAGCCAGCAGTGCCATCTCTTTATTGTCACACCTGGTTCTTGAGGGCAGGGGCTCCCAGCACTGACTAGTCACCAGGATGATGGACACACTGCAACCAGATATGTCTGCAGTCTTAGCTACCACCATTTCAATCTGTTTCTGTTGCCCAAGACCCTTGAACTGATCTGATTTGGCCGTTACTCCCCTCAGACCTGGGAACATGATAGAATGTTAAGGACAACAGAGAGTGGTGGTAATAATAGCAGGGAGGCCTCTGAGCAAAGTAAATTGTTGCTTTTAACCACCAAGTGGACTCACCTCAGACCATGTAACTGCAGCTACAGCACTCAAGATGCTGATGGGAAACCTTCGTTTTGGCATGAATGTACATTTATAAATATGCTATCTGCTTTTTTCATCTTACACTCAATTTTCTGATGCCTGTGGGTCAAGAGCTTTATTGACAGCTTTTCTTTGAGATCCCCAAAGAAAAGGAGTGCCAAAAGAAGAGCACCCTGCTCATCAGCGAGGTCAGGTGTAGTCTTTGGGAAGACAGACTGTATTACTAAATTGAGATCATTTTCTAAAAGGAATCCTCCACTCTGCCCTCTGCTAAGGATCTATATTCAGCAAAGATGCAATACTCTCGGGGAACACGGAAGCAATTTCATGACATCTTCAAGAGAACCTGACCACTTTATCAGTGAACCTTAACTCTGAATCTAGATCCTACCTACGAGCAAGAGAACAGTGATGACCCATGCTCAAGGTGAGAGTCAAGGAGCCAGCATGCTTCTGTGAAAGAGGTCTGGTTGTCTTGACAGACCCCAGGCAGGGAGGGGTGGAATTGGGCCTGAGGAAAAGAAGGGCCATGGCATGGCACCACTGAGATGGGAAGACCAGAGGAGGCAGCTACCCCCATCCTCTGAGGCCATGGGGTTGGGAGAGCCTGGACTCCGGAGAAGATGCTGCGTGCGTGCTAGGAAAGGCCAGACTCACTAAGGCCACTTCAAGCCAAACGACATCTGCTGCATCTCTTGCTCCTCCTCTAGGCCAAAGAGAAACAGTCCACGGTGCCTTGGTGTGTGCACAGGAGAAGGGAACTGAACTGAGTTTCCACCTCATTTTACAGGATGTTTTAAGAAAAGCTACTGCTTACTGCCAAGAAAATTCACTGAGACCCAGTGCAGACCCCTGTAAATGGGCTGTCCCAGAGGCCATAGCATTAGTTCTCACTGTCAACCAGGCTGGACACTGTAACGTCGACTCCCATAAATTCTCACGAAGTAATAAGCACTCTTCCAGCAAGCACCACTTGGGGTGTGTCTGCAGTGGGGGAACACTGGCCCACACAGGCATGCACACCCATACATATAAGGACATAGAGAGATGGTGGAGATATTCCTGTGGGCTATTTTACCTGTAGTTTAGCACATCTACGCATTATTTTATTGATGGCAAGACAATCACAAGTTATTTGACAATAT